GTTCTCCATGGCCTCGCCAAACTCCTCCCATACCCGAGTTTTTGCCTCAGCGACCACCAAAGCCGCATTCCACTTGGCCCGCGGGTACTCATCAGCTGCTTCCGGAGTCCTACAGGCCAAAAAGGCCCAATAGGACTCCTTCTTCAGCTTGACGGTATCCCTCACCACCGGTGTCCACCAGTGGGTTCAGGGATTGCCACCGCGACAAGCACCGACCACCTTATGGCCACAGCTCTGGTCAGCCGCCTTGACAATGGAGGCGCGGAACATAGCCCATTCGGACTCGATGACCCCCCGCCTCCCCCAGGACATGGGCGAAGTTCTGCCGGAGGTAGGAGTTGAAACTCCCTCTGACAGGGGATTCTGCCAGACGTTCCCAGCAGACCCGCACTATACGCTTGGGTCTACCAGGTCTGACCGGCTTCCTCCCCCACCAGCGGAGCCAACCCACCACCAGGTGGTGATCGGCTCTGCCCCTCTCCTCACCCGAGTGTCCAATACATGCGGCCGCAAGTCCGATGACACGACCACAAAGTCAATAATCGAACTGCGGCCTAGGGTCTCCTGGTGCCAAATGCACATATGGACGCCCTTATGCTTGAACATGGTGTTCATTAGGGACAATCCGTGACGAGCACAGAAGTCCAATAACAAAACACCACTCGGGTTCAGTTCGGGGGGGCCGTTCCTCCCAATCACGCCACTCCAGGTCTCACTGTCATTGCCCACGTGAGCATTGAAGTCCCCCAGCAGAACAAGAAAGTCCCCAGAATGAGTGCTCTCCAACACCCCTTCCAAGGACTCCAAAAAGGGTGGGTATTCTGAACTGCCATTTGGCGCATAAGCGCAAACAACAGTCTGGACCTGTCCCCCCACCCGAAGGCAAAGGGAGGCTACCCTCTCATCCACCGCGGTAAACCCCATTGTACAGGCGCCCAGCCAGGGGGCAATAAGTATGCCCACCCCAGCTCAGCGCCTCTCCCCGTGAGCAACTCCAGAGTGGAAGAGGGTCCAACCCCCTTCGAGGAGACTGATTCCAGAGCCCAGGCCATGTGTCTAGGTAAGCCCAACTATATCTAGTCGGAACTTCACAGCCTCGCGCTCCAGCTCAGGCTCCTTCCCTACCAGAGAGGTGACATTCCATGTCCCTAGAGCTAGCTTCTGCAGCTAAGGATCGGATCGCCAAGGTCCCCGCCTTCAGCCATTGCCCAACTCACACTGCACCTGACCCCTATGGCCCCTCCTACAGGTGGTGAGCCCATTGGAGGGGGAACCACGTGCCTTGTTCTGGCTGTGCCCGACCAGGCCCCATGGGTGCAGGCCTGGCCACCAGGCACTCGCCATCGAGCCCCACCCCCAAGCTTGGCTCCAGGGGGGGCCCCGGTGACCCGCGTCTGGGCAAGGGAAATCATGGATCCAATATTTTATTCATCATTGGGGGTCTTGTGAGCCGCACTTTGTCTGGTTCCTCACCCAGGACCTGTTTGCCTTGGGTGACTCTACCAGGGGCATAAAGCCCCATGCAACTTAGCTCCTGGGATCATTGGAACACACAAACCCCTCCACCACGATAAGGTGTCGGCTCCAAGAGAGGTATTAAAAATTGAATAGCGAAAAAAAATATATTTTAAAATTGGTCAATTTTAACATCTCGCTAATGGGCATGAAATAGTATGGCAGGCACAGGTGTCACTAATGACATCAGAATGGCTGCAGTGCAAAGGACCGATTAGTGATATGAAACCATGTGAGGTCACCTATAAGTCCTGATATCCTGGCAACGACTCAAACACCAAAGACCAAATTATCTAGAGAATTATAAGCTAGTTTACAGTAGGAAACATTTTTAAGATGGATGTGCTTGGATGCGAAGTATATTCTGTACTCACCTATTTGAAGAGCCACAAAATATCAGAGCCACCAGACACAGAAGAAAAAATAAGAGATGAAAATCCCAGCACTTCTTTGTTTGATTACCATACAGCACCACCATATCAATAATGAATGTCACAATGCAGTTACAAATGACAGAAATCTACCGAGTGCAACGCTTGTTACAAAGTAGTTTTTCCATTACGGTAAGAGAATAGAGTATTGTAGCTATTAATATTTTGTAGATATCAAACTATTCAATAAAAAACTGACCTGTTGAATGCTTGCAGCTTCATTGTGACCTAGCGGGTGAAATATAGCATTGCATCATTTTCCAATTTTTCAATGTGCATGTTTCCAGTGCAGGGATGGTAAGATTCACCGATTCGCATCGGTATAAAAGTTTACGAGGCAACTGCATTTGGGATGAAATCGGAATACATGGATTCTAACATCTTTGCATCGGTAAAATCTGATATATTAATGTAGAATAGTGAATTACATATATATAATATACACATATAACATAATATATTCACCTCCAGACTGTATTCACCACCACCCACCTCTCCCATACTATTGCACTCCCCGCTGGGTCAGAACACCTGAAGTCTGACTCTCAGTCTCAGTGCGGTTATTGCTGCTGTGCCTCACCTGGGCAAGCACCTCCCTCACCACATCACGTCACATCATAAACATACCACAACACAGCACAGGGTGCCATGAGGGGAGGGTCGTGGGCCTGGTCTGCTCTGTCCACTGGAGTTATCGAGCGGGAAGCTGCTCACGGCCAGGGTTATATTAATATTTAATTATTAGTGGAATTATGCCTTTATTATTTAGAAATTATTTAATATTAAATTGTTCCCCCCTCTCTAAATTGTTTCTCAAGCGCATTCTCTAATCTCCAGATCTCCACTGCTGTTAGTGACCAATTGGAGGCATGCTCTGCGATGCATCGCAATGTATTATGTTGAATTGCATTGCATCGCAATAGGGGTGAATCGTATCATATCGCAATAGTAGTTGCTTTATATGTATCTTTAATGTATCGTATCATCTGCAGTGTATCGAGATGCATATTGCATCGCATTAGAGACTGAGTTCCACATCCCTATCAGAGTGTAATCGGCTGCTAGAAACGCCTCGAATAGAGCGAACTGGAATATTGGGAAGCCTTTTGCAAAATGTACCTAGTGTTACTTATTACCGAATGAGCAGAGATGAATGGGTTTCCGTGAATGGAAGACGCGGTCACGGTCGATTGAAGCAATATTCCAAAATAATTGTTTATCGGGAAACTGCGTTTGAACGCACGGAGGGAAAACCTCAGAACAGGGAGTTGCTATGCAGTGCTGCCACCTAGAGTCTCACTCATAATCACTCAAATTTCGAATATCTCTGATTTACTTCGGCTGCACCTGCATGGCGCTCGTTGTGCCCGAAGTTCTTCTCTCTTATCTTCTCCCCTGCCATAAATAAAGAATTATTACAGCAAATCAGCTGGATTCTACACACATCCATGTTTGCCTCCAAGGGCACAGTGGATCTTCCTCTTATTCCAGAGCTCATGACTCTTCACATAAGTTGATCTATGCGACCTCTTATAGGACTCTGGTGTGTTTGCTTTCAATACGTTAGCAGTAAAAACCAAGTTAAATAGCTGCCATGCACATGGATGGTGTTTTGGCAACTGATGTTTAAAGTCATTGTCTTGACCCAATAGAGAACAAACATCAGTGAACTCAGTGTCTTTATGTCTTTCTTCGCCATTCTCATCATCTTGGCATCGTTATTTAGGGGTTTCTGTAAGTGCTTCAGCCTCATTTCCCAGGATATTGTTGCTCACATCTCGATACACCTTGATTTAAAAAAAATAAATAAAAAATTGGACCCATTTTCTGTGGCCATTCCTTGTATTTTTTCTCTGAGTGGATATCACTGAAACAACATCAAACGTGTGTGGACCGTTTAATTGTCTGCAGGCAAGGGCTGCAGAGCACCAGTACAGGCTCTCTGGGTCAATCCAAGGGGCTGTGACCCCTACAAAGTTGTGTCTCCTCCATGACCAATAGTCTGTGGTTGCAGCAACGTGCTCTGCTTTGCCCACTGCCTCTGGAAGATTTTTCTTCATGTGATCAGCCTCAGTCATCCTTGACCATAGAGTGAGCCTTCAAATGATTGCAAAATTTAGCTGGAGATTCTGAATGAAGTTTTTGAATGTTGTTTGCTCCACAGTGTTAAATGGAAGGAGACCTTCAACCACATACAGCCGTGGAAAAAATTAGGAGACCACTCTATATTTTTAAACAAATATGCATTTTTAAATCCTGGTTTAATCTTATTTCTGCTGGCAGAAGGTTACACTGAGCAGCAGGTTGTTTCCAGGTTCAAATTTCTAAGACAGCAGCACACAGGAATAAGGTGAAGCAGGAGACACTGGGAACGACCAGAAACCGGCCAGGTAAAGGGCAGAAGCGACTTTCTAATGGCAGAGATGACTGTTAACTTATCCGACAGTTTCTTATAAATCGTAGGATGACCTTCAAAAGGAATGGGAAGCATTAAGTGCAGGTGTGAAGTGCACTGCTAGAACAGTTCATATCAGGCTCCTAGAAGCAGGACTGAAGTCCTATAAAGCAAGGAAGAAGCCCTTCATTAATGAGAAACAGAGTCGAACCAGGCTGCAGTTCGCAAAAATATATATTATTCAAACACGCACAGCCATAAATTGAGAAATGACTGAAACAAAAAAACTGTACAGTGGTCTCATAATTATTTCCGTTGCTGTATTTCACCTCAATCATTGTTTATGATACTTTTCTTCCGTCCAGTTTCTGTTGCTTCAGTGAACCCCCTGCTGTTTTTGCCTTTCTCTGAAACCTGAAGTAATACGACCATAGTTTGTCCCTGCACTTTGTGTTTTTAGATTAGATTATAGAGGGTTGTTAGTGCATCTGAATGACCTCCTTCAGCAAACATGATCCACCTCACATTTTTCATTTTTGTTCCTTTTTCCCCAGGTGATCATCAACTTCAGCAAAAATAAATTTCTTGTCAGCATGCCTGGTAACATCATTTTATCATTCCCGAATCGTTTTGCTGCTGACAAGTTCATGTTCATCCGAGTAAGGGGGGATCTTAGAATCAAGGGCTTCGACATTATGTAAGCAAGTCTGCCTTGTCTGGCTGCTGATTGGCTGCTTTCTATGCGCTATTCTTTGTGAAACTTCACCATAATGCTTATTGTTAATCCCACTAATGCAGTAGTGACTATACCATGTGTTCCTTCTTGCTATATGCCTTTGTTTATACAAACAGTGTGAACCTGCACAACTTCCCCAGCTGGCAGACATTTTAATCTGAAAATATGAAAATTATTTTGACATTTCAGTTTTAATAAATCTCACTGCATTTTGCATTGGAGTCAGTGGTAACACCTGGTTTCATTTTGCATATTGAGGTATGCAGATTTCTCTCTCTATATAGCAAACCATTCTGATGGTTCAAATCTTCTTATATTAATGGTCATTTTCTTGTAGTTTGAAGCAGGTGATATTTAATTTGAAAGTTAATAGTGTTCTACAACCAAATGTGCCAAATCCAAGAACAACTGTTATTTGCCTTGTGGGAGTACTAGACTTCTTTGAGATGGTAAAGTTAATTATACATACTGTACAGTATTTGCTCACTTACTGTACTTAATCTACAAGAATTTATGCATATTTTCTGTAATTCATATCTTGATTTTCTTAACCTAATAGGAAATGCTCTCTCCAAGCAAAACTCAAAAGCTGAGGTTTCCTTCATCAACTGTGCATATGAACAATTTTCTGTGCAAACTAATGGTGTGACATTTGTGAACGATTCATTCCTGGCAAATGAGTCCCTTACGGGAACTATACACTCACAGTCACTTCCCTGCACAGATTCGTTCTCTTTGTTATTTTACTTGTCCTCAGAAATGTGAAATTTTCATTTACTTGAAAGCTGCTCCCTTCCTACATCAGCACTGACTTCCGTGTGCTGCAGTTGGATGTTAGAGATGCCTCTGATTGGGCTGGCGAATGGATCAAAACGAATCTTTTAGGTGAACTGAATTAAACGAACTGTGTCCCAGTAGTCATTCTCTAGTGTAAACTCTGTATATGCACATTTTTATGCATAGAATATTAATTTACTTCTGTGCGTAGAAATGTGCGTATATTTATGAATCCTCCCAACCATATGTATGCACACACCCCTAGTGGTACTGTATAGAAGTGTAACTGAAGCAAATTGATCAGCACAAGATATGCAGAAACACAGATTTAATTATCAACTTTGACAGACAAACAAAATGATCTAGTGATGTTCACACAAAGTATGGGCAGGCAGGTCATGCTAGTGATGAGGAATCATTCCACACACACTGCAAAGGGGGGTAACCCAGTGGCAGAGTGGAGCAGGGAGCTGCCAGCGTAATCGACAAGGTTACCATACACAAAAACTGAGACTATCACTAAGCCATTGATAAAAAAAAATTTTTGTAAAGTGAAATAGTTAAAGCCATTTTTAAAGCTGTTTTTTCATGATCAACTACATTGAAAATATGACTGTGCTTCTCATCAGCCAATTTGAATGCAGTGAATTTTACAAACTGCCTGCGCTCCTGTATGGCTGGTAGGGAGCGCCTGAGCCCTGTGTGGGATTATTATGAATATGATGCTGAAACTGGAAAAAGCCAAGTTATTGTCATGTCAGATGGTACCCCGTGTGGTATGGTGATCAAAGGAAAAAATTCAACCAACCTCAAAGTACATTTACAAAGTTATCATTGACAGGAGCACAAATCATACATGGATAAAGAATGATTGAGAAAGAGGCCCAGTGCGAGTGAAAGGTCTGATAGTATACTACCGGCTCAGAGGCAGCAGACCCTGACATCTTCTCTCCAAAGCTTTGAAATATGGCCGACCAGCTCCAATGAATGCAAGAAACATGAAAACGCTCTGGTTAATTTGTTTATTGAAACAGGCGTGTCCATGCGGTTGTGTGATGTTCTCACATCTCACCTGAACTTAGAAATAGGCAGGGAGTTTATTAGAAGGGGACACGACAACCAGAAAATAAAGGACCAGAAGGGGTGTACCATGAAGAACAGGAAGGAACAATGAGGCAGGAGCGGGGCGAACCGGAACACGGGGAACACTGCAGGGACGGGAAACGCTGGGAACAAGGAACATATCAAACAGCAGTATCAACCATAGTGACCAAGCTGGGGCACACTGTGAGGGCAGGCATATATACAGTATACACACACAACTATCAAGGGACTCACTGAGGTGATTACAGCATGACTAACCCCCTCTGCTGGCCAAATGGGGACATGACGGAGGCAGATCATGACAGAAAGATTTTCAGTTAGACTTTTAATACACACCTGTCTGTGCTTAGGTTCTACTACTTTGGGTTAGTTCAACTTCTCATTATATTATATAAACAAGAAAACTTGTGGTGTAGTTAGTTCATTGATTTAATCAAAATTTATTTAAATCTGCTTGAGTTAATTTTACGTATGGGAAGCACTCATAAATATCTCATTTAAAATGTTTGACTGTTTTCATTATTATCTTTTAATAAAGAGAGAGAGAGAGAGAGAGAGAAATCAGATTATCCCCTATGGAAAAAGAATGCTATATTCCTTTTAATTCCTAAATTCCTCTGGGAAAGGAATGAAGCCATAAGAAATGACTCCTTTCTAAGAGCTGCTCTTCCCATCAGTTAATTACACGACTTTGCTACAATTTGCTACAAAAAAAATAACAACATCACAATACGGAGACACCTAGACTACAATCCCAGCTGTGGAATACCGGGGGGGTCAGCAACACTTGTCCAAGTAGGAACAAGCAAGGAAACTAGCAGCAAGCCAAGGACTAATACACCAATAACAGGGGGCATGAACCAGGAAGGATACACCTTCTCCACTGGGGTATGAAGTCAAATCCGGAAGAGATGCTGTTATAAATGTGTTTCTTAATGAAAAGGAACCAAAAAGCTTCACTTTGATTCGACACAGTGGTTGGTAATAGATGTGCTGTGAGTTGCATGAATTTGACACTGGACTGAGCACTGGCAAGATTGATAGGGCAGCTAGTTGAGCCACACAAAAGGGAGGCATCGACAGTCGTCTTCAATTTCGCAGAAAGATGCCCTGTCACATGGCCACCCTGCCAATCTCTTAATGAAGTCACAGTGATGGATTGGGGCAAGGAGCAAAAATACAAAGTTCCTGCAAATAGGGACACATGCAAGATCTTAAAACTTGATCTGCAAATTAAAAAGTTGCAAATTGCAGAATTTAATGGGGAGTGTGTTGATAAGTAGAAGGGTGAGATTTTGCATGCAGCCAAAGCACAAAGTGATTGGCACGCACTACCAAATGTGGACAATATCAAACGGTCAGTCCACATGTAGCAATGGAGTTCTCCCGTCCCGTCTACAACGTGATCAACGGAGGAAAATTGGTTTAATTGGTACTGGCTCTGACAACAATATTCCGGTGGTGAAAGCCAAATTGGTGAGTGTTTTTGCAACAAGATTTGTTCCTGATCTTGATGCAGAAATCCTACTCTCCTACTTGAGTGAGAAACTGGATAAGCTGGTAACATGTCACAAGCATTAGATTGTCACAAGCAGTAAAAGATATGGATCGTTTCATGTCACTGTGGAATGTGAAGGAGTAATGGATCTGTAGAACCCTCAACTCTGGCCAGTGGGGATCTATGTTTGCCGATACTTTGAGGCCCGTGGGCCTAGAGAAGGCAGTGACAGTGGGGTCGGCGTTTCTAGGTAGGACTGATACGCAACAGCAGTGTTCGCCCTGCAGGGGAGCAGCTGCCCAATGGTTGTTGGAGGCAAGCAAAAATAAATGAATATCAAAATTGGCTCGTATAATGTGCGAGAACTCCCTGTAGGGCAGAGCAGAGCTGATACATCGCGCCGTTTAATTGTAAATGTTTCTAACGGCAAAAGCCCTGTCGTCATGTTTTAGGTGTGAAATTATATGGTCTAGCAATGTTTTACAGCATGGAGAATTAATAAATAATTGAAGCATATTGTCCCAAACGCGCCCCGGACTATAGCCAGTACATGGCGACTCAGGCCTGCAGACGGGGTAACAGATTCTCGCAACATGATGATGTCAGGAGATTGTCACCCACCTTGGCCGCTGTCTCTGGGGGGAGCAGCCCGGATAGGAACTATAGTAAGCAGCATTTAATAACAAGCATCAAAAACACATTTTTAAAAACTTTAACAGAATGAAGCCTTAGTTATTTTAATAAACAAGTTTGTTTTTTTCAGTGAAAGTTTGTTCACGCTCGTGCACACAAACACACACACACACACCCCAGAGGTCAGGGGACTTTAGAGTTTAACTTTAGGTTGGTGATCGCGATGTGTGTCCAAACCCCAAAACACCCAAGCTTAGTCATTCACTAATTTAACGTGAAAAAACAGACAGAAATAGACTTGTAAATTTTAAAGAAAAGACATTAATGGCTTTTGTTAATGTTTAAAGGTATAAAGCACTGATCATCAACTGGCGGCCCGCGGGCCGAATCCGGCCGGCTGAGCCGTTCAATCCGGCCCGCGACTGGATTCCAAAATTGTGAGGATCAAAAAGAAAATAGCGGTCCACACTATTAAAGCAACTAAAAATAACAACAACTGAGTCTCTTGTCAGAATAACCACCATTTATGACTATATTTAGGCTATGAAATGGAAAAAGTATAAACATTAAACATAATGTTAAGCCAAAATTAGATTTTTATTTCATTTTCTTCTTGGGGGTCCGGCCCCCAAGGAGACTGTCTGGTAAAACTCTGGCCCTCTGACAAATATAGTTGATGACCCCTGATATAAAGCTTCAGATGTATCGGGCATGCGCACAAGAACGCACCCAAGGGCACCTTTAGAGTTTGTGCAATCAAAAAAACACCAGGCATATATACTTTACATTTTTTCTTAAAATGTATAAGGATCGTTTTGTTATAGCGAAATTTTAAACTAGTAAGAGTGTGATATAAGTCATTTAGGTAACAAGATTTGAGGAAGAACCTAAATAGCGGCTAGAAATGATCGAGCAGGCAGACAGAAGGGGGCTTTCTTATCTCACAAGCCATGGAAGGGTAGGGGGGTGTAGGAACTGTGGAATCAGGCAAGTGTGTAAGAATTTAGGATATATTTTTGTTATTTTAAAGAAGTTGGACATGATTATTTAATTACATTTAATAGGAACTATTAAGCTGCATTTAGCATCATGCATCAAACACACATTAAAAACTGTAAAGAATAATGCCTTAGTTGTTTTAATAAAGACATTCTTCAGTAAATGTCAGACATCCTACAAGGTGACCCCACGGCCTCTAGCTTATATCAT